TGCAGCGTGCCCATCCCCCCTGGAGGTTGACTTCTCGCCGTCTTTCTGTCTCTATGTCTCTCTCTGTCTGTCTGGCGAGCGACGCGCCCTATAGCAAAAAACCTCTCCAAAAAAAAAAAAAAAATTTCTTTTCTATTAACCTGGTTTTATGCGTTGATAAAAATTTGGAATTATATTTTGTAACAAGAATAGGTTCAAGATAAAGTCGAGATATATGTAACTCCTCACATGTCAACCCACATATTTTTATGTTTTTCTTTTGATGGGGAAATTGAGCTTGATAAAGCATATGAGATGATATTTTTCTTGTTAAACAGCTATCAAATACAAACTGGGAATGAGGTTTTTAAGCAGTTGCTTTATCTTTATTTGAGGAAATCTAGATTTGTACATAGGATTAGTGAGGAGAAACTTTCCATTAAAAGACACCCTGCTGGGGCCAGCCAGGTGTCATGGTGGTTAAGGTGGCTCTATCACACTTTGTAGTTTGACTTTGCAGTTCAAGTCCTGGACATGGGTGCAGTTCGAGTCCTGGACCTGGTGACTTGAAAAAGATGCTGGGGTGTGAGTGTGGGCATGCCCAAAATCCCGCAGGGGAGTGGAGGAGAAGGGATTGCAGAGTAGCCATCCCCTCGGGAGATAATTTCTCACCACCCTCTTTTCATGAGTGTACAAACCCTTATAGCAAAACTTCAATTTAAAAAAAAAAAAAAAAAAAGGGAAAGACATCCTGTTGTAGCCCAGCCATGTTGGAATACCCTGCCGTGATACTGTGCTCCTCAGGAGAGGGCCACATTGGAGGCCAGGATTCAGTTCTTTTTCTAATCTAAAGGCCTGTAATCCTAGCAACTCAGAAAGGCTAATGCAGGAGGATTGTGAGCTTGAGGCTAGACTGGACAATATGGAGAAACCCTGTCTGAAAAAAACATCCTGTTGTAGCCCAGCCATGTTGGAATACCCTGCCGTGATACTGTGCTCCTCAGGAGAGGGCCACATTGGAGGCCAGGATTCAGTTCTTTTTCTAATCTAAAGGCCTGTAATCCTAGCAACTCAGAAAGGCTAATGCAGGAGGATTGTGAGCTTGAGGCTAGACTGGACAATATGGAGAAACCCTGTCTGAAAAAGCCACCTGGGAGGCTGAAGCAGGAAGATCTTGATATGGCAAGATGCTGTGTTAAATTAAAAATAAACAACAGCAAAAACCCCTGTGGTTCTTATATGCATTCAAGCGGGCTTCAGTTTATACAATGCATTAACTAATATCTTTCAAAGCAAATTGTTACATAAAGTGTTTCTCAACTTCCTCGGTGAGATCACCAAAATAATACAGACTGAAATTTTCTATGCCTCCCCCCGACCCCAATTTAAGAAGTTTGGTAAGTATTCTAGTTTCTTCTGTTGCTAATAACAAAAATGCTTGAGTCTGGGAAATTTAAGAGAACGGAGGTTTATTTTTTATTTATTTTTTTTTTTGAGAGATTTTCACTGTAGGGCGCGTGCGCTCGCCAGACAGACAGAGAGAGACATAGAGACAGAAAGCGAGAAATCACCCCCCAGGGGGGATGGTCACGCCACAATCCCTTCTCCTCCAGAGAATGGAGGTTTATTTAACTGATAGTTGGAGGTTTAAGGTCCAGGGACCGTGCCTGGTGAGTGGCTTCTTGCTGGCTGTGAGGTGGCACAGGGCATCACAGCATGGCAGAGGGTAGGAGAGCTCGTAGAGCGGAGTGTGTCTCTGTCTCCTTCCCTCTCCTTGTGCACTCACTAGGACTCAGTCATGGGGACCTCACCCTGATGCCTGATTACTTCCAAAGGCTCCATATTTCAACAACATAATCAGATTGAGTTTCCTCTTAATACCTTCACAATACAGCCATATTCTAACACTTGAATTTTGGGGGACACATTCAAACCATAATCTAAGATAATTCTTTTTTTAGAGTTTTGAATCTAAATTTACTGGGCCAGTCCTGTGGCCTAGTCATTAAGGGAATCAGATCCTACATGGCTACCCATGCAGTTTGGTCCTGGCCTGGCAGCTTGTGAAACACACTGGGAGCATAAGCGTGCCTGCCCTCCGTTCAGACAGGATAGAGAGATGGAGGAGGGAGGATGGTGGTGTGGCCACTCCCTCATTGAGCAGTTCTTCTCCCCAACCCATCTGCAATATCTGTCTATCTGTGTATCTGTCTTTCTGTCTCTGGCAGCACACATACCCTCTGGAAATTAAAAAAAAAATCTAAACTTATTAATAGTTTTAAGAATCAAAGAAAGATCCCAAATACAATTTTGCTCAGAAAAATTTCAATAACTTTGGAAATTATGGTATTCTCAGCAGAATATTTATGGAGGTAGCAAAAACCCTAAATTGGTCATTTTGAAGGTGTAGCGTTTGAATCCATTCTCCTCTACAAATTTATTACTGACTTTTGGATACCTACTGGATAGATAGCTAGGAGATTTTTTTTTTTTTTTTGATAGATGTAAGTTGCCATACATAGGGTCAAACTCTTTATGTTTTTATAATTATTGGAATAATTATATATATAGTTGGCTATATATATATGTGTGTGTGTGTGTGTGTGTATGTATGTATATTATACGTATGTGTGTATATATATATGTATATTATATGTATGTGTGTGTATGTGTGTGTGTATATATATGTATGTATAGTTGGTTATGGAGAGCAGTTAAATAGAATCTATTATCAGCATGAGAGAAGCCAAAAAGTCAAAGCCACATTCTGAATAATGCAAACACAGTAAATGTTTAACCCCCTGCCACCTTGATAAAACCTCTTAAATTATTAAATCAGTATACCTACACAAAACTGACATGCTGTCAGGATAATGGAAACTTTAGATTTTCTAAGTCGGGTGCCAGATAAATAACTTTCCCTTTATATAAAGAATTTGCCAACTTGTCCAATTCCTCTGGTTGCAAAGCTTGACCTCGGTAGCTGCTTGTGATTCAGAGAATTCGGAGGCAGTACAAGTAATGACACTTGGATAATGGGCAGCAATTTAAGGGTGTCATGCTTCACAGAGCCAGCCCATCACAAGTACAGCTGAGAAATGGTACCCTGTGGCCAGCCAGCCAAATTGAAACTGAAGTGGTAATTGATATCATGGGCTATCACTCTAATGGGATTGTCACCCATTGATCTGAAATATTCATTTTTTAATCATGGGCAAGGAATTGGACAACTTAAGGTGACAGCTCTCTATTCTCAGGACTTGACACCTAGGCTACTGACATTGTTCTTTTCAGTTCTACAAATGTGACAGCATTTAATGCAATAGAATCAATGAATGAAGCTACCCAGAAAAGGTCAAGTGAGAGGTTTCTTTCTGTTTCTTCTGTTACATTGCACAAGCTGTTGAAACAATCCAGTCAAAAAACAGTTTGGCTTGGAAAAGGCCAGAAAAATAAACAGATTGATATTATGCAATATTAAAAAAAAAAAAAAAACTAAAATAGTGTTAGATCTTTAACCAGTGCATTTGAAAGAAATAAACTGTTCCCAGTGCTTCTATATTTTTTAAAATGACATATGACATCTTCAACACTAGATTTATTTCCACTTTAGTTTAATCACAGTGTTCTTTCTTTGCCAACGAGATTTAAGGTAGTATTTACTTTCTCTCTTTCTCATTTTCTTTTTTCTCCTTTTTGCAAAATTTAAAAAAAAAAAAAAAACTAAAATAGTGTTAGATCTTTAACCAGTGCATTTGAAAGAAATAAACTGTTCCCAGTGCTTCTATATTTTTTAAAATGACATATGACATCTTCAACACTAGATTTATTTCCACTTTAGTTTAATCACAGTGTTCTTTCTTTGCCAACGAGATTTAAGGTAGTATTTACTTTCTCTCTTTCTCATTTTCTTTTTTCTCCTTTTTTTTGGTCTAGCTTATTGACTTATTTCTGTAGAAATGGACAGTCTGACCCTTTGTGAAGTTGTGTCTACAATAGTCTTATTTCAAAGGGATTCTTTTTCCTTTTATTCCTCTAAACTTTATTGTAGTATAATTAACAAATTAAAGAATTGTGTATATTGGGACCAGCAGTTGGAGTAATGGCTATGTCGCTGGACTCCCATGTAGTCGACTGCGGTTCAAGTCTCAAACCCAGTAGCTTAAACTCATGCTGGGCACGTGTGCGTGTGTGCCAAGATCCCAAGAAGAGAATGAAGGAGAAGGGATTGTGGTGTGGCCAGCCCCCTAAGGGGTGATTTCTCGCTTTCTGTCTCTCTGTCTCTCTCTGTCTTTCTAGCGAGCGCATGAGCCCTATAGCAAAAACCTCTCCAAAAAAAAAGAATTGTATATATTTAAGGTATGTGATTGATATTTTAATGTATTTAAGATATATGATTTTTTAAATAATTATTTTATTTAACTTTATTTATTTATTTATTTATTCAAGCAGAGAGGGACAGAGTGAGAGAAAGAGAAATGAGAAAAGCCAGGTTTGGAACTTGAACTTTGGTCAGTCATATGAGAATCCAGTGCCCTTAACCACCACTCCACCTGCCAGCCCCAAGGTACATGATGTTTTGATTTGATGTTTGTATTATATATTTTGAAACAATGAGCTAATTAACATATCTATCACATCACATAGTTAATTTTTTTTTGGCTGTATAAATTTCAAGTATACAGTACAGTAGTTTTAACTATAGTCAACCATGCTGTAATTGTCCCTCTAAAACGTGTTCCTCCTGTATAACTGAAACTTTACCCTTTGACCAACATCTCAAACCCCCTTTTTTCTCTGTTTCTTGTGTGGGTTAGGCTAAGTTATGGTTTGAACCTTAACATTTTGAATATATTGGTTTAATGAGTACTAAAATAATTTTCTTTTTTTCTTTTATGGTAGGCGGGAAGAGACATAGAAGGGGAAAAGACAGAGATAGGTTGGTTTTGTTTATAGTGTTTTTACAGAGTCTCGCTATGGCTGTGATGTGATCCTTCTGCCTCAGTCTCCCAGATAGCTAGCATTACAAGTGCATGAATCTGTGCTTGGAGTGTTCAGGTTGGCCAGAGTCCTGAACCTGTGTCTCTCATGCAGCTTCCAGCCTCCTGAGCTGTGGTACAACCTGTGAGCCACTGTGGCTGGGTGTCTTTTGATATATAAGCAAAACCTACAGTTTCTTTCTTTTTTTGGAGAGGATTTTGCTATAGGGCATGGGCTCTCTCTAAAAACAGAGAGAAACAGAAAATGAGAAATCACCCCCCCCCCAAGGGGGATGGCCACGCCACAATCCCTCTGCTCCATTCTTCTCCTGGGATTTAGGGCGCACACGCACATACGCCTGGCATGGGTTTTTACCACATCGGGTTCAGGATTCAAACCGTAGTGGACTACGTGGGAGTCCGGTGAACATAACCATTACACCATCTGCTGGTCCCTTTGTGAACTCTTTGAAGACCCTTGTGTATTATATTCTTAATAGAACTCTATATATTGGCTTTTGTTTGGAGGGATTTTAGCTTATTTTTTTAGTTGATATTTCCTGATTACCTTGAGGTAATAAAATGTTAGTGTAGCCTTATCTTCTAGAGAAGTAAGTGCGTTGAAAATATTGTGAGTTACTTTGTGGAACAATTATTTTTTTTGTCCATTTAGATATGAAAAATTTAAAAATTAATCTCTAATTCTTCCCTCATATCTTGTTTATGATTCACCAACTCACAGCCTAATAGCCCAAAGTTCATATGTAAATAAACCTAAAAATTCAGCAATATAGTATTTTGAAAAAATTCTAGATTTTTAAAAGAATTTTCAATACTACAGGAAAATTCAGGGGCAGATGCCTTTTTACAGTGAATCTAAGTAGATTACTACTCAATGGAAAGGGATTTATTACTGCATGTTAGCCTTTTTCAAATAACAATTATGTATCTATGTCAAATTTTTATTCAGCAAAAATCTGTTGCATTCCTGTGCCAGGCACCTTTCCGGAATCTAGCAATAGCCTTTTCCTCTAAAGGCAGAATTTGTGATAATTGTATTTGGGCCAAGAATAATTATGAAAAAATACCGAACTTGGTCATTTGGGATGAACAATTTTTTTTTTAATTGAGAAATTTTTACTATAGCACATGTGTGCTCACTGGAGAGAAATACAGAAAGCAAGAAATTACCCCTTCCCGGGAGGGGGATGGCCACGCTGCAGTCCCTTCTCCTCCATTCTCCTCTTGGGAATTTGGGCATGCACCTGCCTAGCATGAATTTTTAAGCCACCAGTTCTGGACTGGCACTGAAATCACAATAGACTATGTGCAAGTCCAGCAATGTAGCCTTTACGCCATCTGCTGGTCCCTGGCAGGACCAATTTTTGATAAAATATTCTTCAATTTTTATAACTTCTATAATCGTAGAGTGGATCCACAGTTCAGTTTATAAGATTATTCCCAAAATAGAAACCAGTCTATCATTGCTATGGTTTTAGTTTAGTTAGCCCTAAAATAAAATTAGGAAACTTAAAAAAAAAAAGATGTTTTCTTTATAGACTTAACCAAGAGTATTAAATAAAATAATAAAACTTGCTGTTAGGTTCAAATTATCCAAATACTGAATGATCCACCTTCCCATAAACTATAAAACTGGTTTGATAAAATAATCTCGAATGTAATTTTTAGATAATATTTATGTATATGCCCTTAAGTGATTATTAACATTTATGCAGCACTATATAAAACATCGATGTTATAACTAAGATTTTTGAATTATGTTTATTTTACTTCTATTGAGCATATTTTCAATTAAAAAAAAAAGAATAGTCTTGTGGTAGTGTATACAAATATGGTATCCAGAGATGGTGAGGGTGTTTGATTTAGTTCTTCCTTTAAAAAATGAGAACAGCCGTTTCCCATGCTTGTTATAAGTCTAAATGGGATTATGTAAAAGGATTTCATAATTTGTAAACTTCAATTCAAAAGAAAGAATTACTATAATCTGGTTGCTTTTAAACTTCAGTAGCCAACTTTTGTTTTTGTTTTTTAAAAGAGTTTTTTTGCTATAGAGTGCATGCACTTACTGGAGAGACAGACAGAAAGCAAGAAATCATCCCCTAATTGCAATCCCTTCTCCTTCATTCTCCTCTTGGGATTTTGATGATGCACACACATGCCCCCAGCATGAGTGTCAAGCCACTGGGTCCAGGACTTGAACTGTGGTTGGCCATGTGGGAGTCCAGGGCCTTAACCAGTATGCCACCTACTGGTCCCCAGTAGCCAACTCTTTATTGCAATAGGGAACTTTTATTGAGGGTAGAGGTGATGAGGAAGAAAACACGATTTTTGGAGGAGAATATTATTACATTGATGACTTTAAGGATATAAATAAGATTATTGGTGGGGTGTGGATCTTTGCTTCCAGAGAAATGAAGACCACTTCACAGGCATCTAAATTAGTGTCAAACAATTTTTTTTTGAGCCATCTGGACTCTGGGCTAGTCAGCAAAAACAGTTGCATGGAGAAGCTAGATCACTCCAGGGTGGGTTTCTATATGATAACTGCCTTTAAGGCCAGAATTAGGGCTATTTCCTTTCCCTGGCTTCTTTGTTTCTAGCACATTTGACGAGTCTATTACTGAGTTCATATTGTGTATGATTTTGGGTGGAGAGTGAGGCATAAGGGTGGGAGTGGAAGGAAGCAAATTGGATTTTAAGACTGTACAACTTTGGTAGTTATCCCTTTTTTTAATAAATAATAGTATTTAGAATAAGAACAGTTTCATACAAAGAAAAATGCCTAAATTCTGAACTATAATTTTCCATGTTTTTGACATTATTTAAATCTCAGTGGTTTTTCTTTTAAGAAACAGACAAGGCAGAATTTAAAAATCCCAAACCCACACATACTATCTTCTCAATAACCCCACAAATTTTCTGTAGGAGAATATTTGAAAATGGGTAAGAAAAATGCCTTCTGGAAGAGAAGTTCTCAGTTTGTGTATTGAGTAATAGAAATTGCTGAAGTTTTAGATGGAGGCAGGAAAAATGTCTCCAAAGTAAAAATCCTTTGTATTGACATTAGATTTTGTATTATACCACAGTAACTTTTTTCAAACTTTTTTTTTCTTAGCATTTAACAGAAGAAAAACCTGATGGCCTTATCAATGAAGCTTCTAGGTATTACTATTTAAAGTATATATTGATTGCTGGCTAATTAGAAAGAAAATCATTAATGTGAAAACAAAAAATAAATGAAAAAATATAAAGACATAGTCAAGGAAAATTAATTTTTATAGTTGAATTATTGTTATCTACTCAGAATAGTCTGATAACTAAGATTTTATTTTAAAACCATTTTTATTGTAGCAATAAAGTGAGTGCTGGACATAGGAGTGCTTTGATTGTGAAAAATTTGGAACGTATTTATGTATAAACATTATTTTCTTGTTTCCACATGATTTCTTTGAAATTGAAGATTATAAAAAAACCAGTTGGCTCACCTACTGCCTTCTTTTACAGTAGGCAATCTGATTTCAGTGTTTATGTCATTCTGAACAACAGAGGAGTAAGTTTGGAAGGTTCCCCCCCCCCCGTTTTTTTTTTTGTTGTTGTTATAAAGTGTGTACACTAACCAGAGAGAGAGAAATCACCCCTCAGGGGATGGCCACGCTGCAATCCCTTCTGTATTCTTCTCTTGGGATTTTGTGCATGTGTGCATAAGCACACAGGGTGGTTTATTAATTTTTTAAAATTTTTTTAAAGGTTTTTGCCATAGGGAGCATGTGCTCCCTAGAGAGAGATAGTGAGAGGGAAAGTGAGAGCACACAGGGTGGTTTATTAATTTTTTAAAATTTTTTTAAAGGTTTTTGCCATAGGGAGCATGTGCTCCCTAGAGAGAGATAGTGAGAGGGAAAGTGAGAAATCACCCCCCACACCCCAGGAGGGATGGCCATAGTGCAGTCCTTTCTTCTCCATTCTCCTCCTGAGATTTTGGGCATGCATGCACACGCACCCCCCATGATTTTCAGGTCACCAGGTGCAAACCACAGTTGGCCATGTGGATATCCACACACACGCACCCCCCATGATTTTCAGGTCACCAGGTCCAGAGTGCAAACCACAGTTGGCCATGTGGATATCCACACCATAACCGCTATGCCACCTGCTGGCCCTAAAAATGAAAATTTTTAATTTGGTATTTAAAACTTTGAGTACTTTTCTGTTCCTGATGGATTTATCTTTACACTTGTAAATATTTAAAGTAGTTTGCTACTCTAAGCATATTTTTGCTAATGGTACAAAGGTTGGAGGTAGTGATTGTCACTAAATATGCTGCTGGATTTGAGTGAGGCCCTTTGGGATTTGGTATGGATGATCCAGCCTTAAATACTGAAGACTATAAGCAAGCATTTGATTTCCTGTCATTCTGGAGTGCGCTACTGTGTTTTGTAATTCTCCCTACACATTGCAGTTGGCCGTAATTATTATTCAAATTAGAATGAGCCTACATATTTCTGTAACTTTTTTCCTTATGAAATTATGCTTATTATAGAAAATATAAATAAGCCAAATAGAAAATATAGAAATGTTATAAAAGTAAAAAAAAAAATAGAAGTCTTCCAGTTTAAAGATTGCAACTGTCTTTATTTTGAGATACATACATTCAGTTTTTATTCATATAAAATTGACTGATGACTGAAACAGAAATTAGATTGTGATACATATATTGTTGAAGCCAGTTTTGTCAGAGAATTTAAAGTTAATTGAGCTTTGAGAATTTGATTATGTTCTTTGAGATGTAGCTTACGTAAGACTAGGATTAGAAACAGTGCGGTGATTAAAATTTCCTAAAAAACTGAAGAAAATTGAAAGAATCCCCACATTTTTCACTTCTGTTAATAGAAAATAAAATTTCAAGTTTTTTTGTATTTTAAAAAAGGAATTATTTAACTTTATTTTAATTTGACTAGAGAGGGACAGAGAGAGAGAGAAAGTGAGAAAGCAAGCTGCCAGGTCCAGGACCCAAACCGCAGTCAGCCATGTGGGAGTCCAGTGCTCTTAACCACTGTGTAACCTGCCAGTCCCTTCAAGTTTTTTTTTTTTTTTTTAAGAGAGGTTTTTGCTATAGAATATGTGCAATTGCTGCAGAGGCAGAGAGACACAGAAAGCGAGAAGTCATCCCTTAGGGGGAATGGCCACACTGCATTCCCTTCTCTATTCTCCTCCTGCGATTTTGGGTATGCACGCACATGCTCCCAGCATGAGTTTTAAGTCACCAAGTCCAGGACTCAAACCCTAGTTGACGACCTGGGAGTTAAGCGATGTAATCATGGCATCATCTGCTAATCCCCAAACTTCAAGTTTTAATAATCTATTGTTATGTAGCATTCCATCAATTGTGTTCTTTTTTAAAAAGAATTATTTTATTTTTTACTTAATTTATTTATTTAAATTTGACCAAAGAGGGACAGAGTGAGAGAGAGAGAGAGAGAGTGTGAGAAAGCAAGCCACCAGGTCCAGGACTCAAACTGCAGTAAGCCATGTGGGAGTCGAGCGCACTTAGCCGCTATGCCACTTGCTGGCCCCCATCAACTGTGTTCTTTAACTTGAATTTCTGAATATCTGTTTTACAGAGATAATGCATATTCATAGTGATGTAGAAGACAGTTGTCCAAGATCCTGACATATCTTTTAAAGAGCAGTTTTTAAAAAATTGTTTAATGTAATCCTTAGTGTTAAATGAACTTGTTTTCTGTAGTTCTTTAACAATTATGGTAAATATTACAAGAAATATTTTAGTAAATAGACTATCCTTATTCCTGTCATATTAGATATCTGTATTTTATGCTTTTCTTTACAAAGAAAATAATAAGTTGAAAATTATGATTTTGCTCGTATATTTTTTTTTTTTTGGAGAGATTTTCACTGTAGGGCGCGTGCGCTCACCAGACAGAGAGAGACATAGAGACAGAAAGCGAGAAATCACCCCCCAGGGGGGATGGTCACGCCGCAGTCCCTTCTCCTCCATTCTCCTCTCGGGATCTTGGGCACACACGCCCACGCGCCCGGCGTGAGTTTTAAGCCACCGGGTCCGGGACACGAACCGCGGTCGACTACGTGGGAGTCCTGCGACATAGCCATTACGCTAACTGCTGGTTCCCGCTCGTATATTTTTTGAGGCTTAGCTTTATAGCTCTAGGGTAGCAGGTAAGAGCACTTAATAACCAGTTGTTTTTTATTTTTGAGAGAGGTTTTTGCTGTAGGGTGCATACGCTTGCTGGAAAGACAGAGAGAGACAGAGACAGAAAGCGAGAAATCACCCCCCAGGGGAAGTAGCCATGCCACAATTCCTTCTTCTCCATTCTCCACTCAGGATCTTGGGGACACATGCACATGTGCCTGGCATGAGTTTTAAGTTGCTGGGCCCAGGACTCAAACTGTGGTTGACATGTGTAAGTCCGGCAGTGTAACTGCTATGCCATTTGTTGGTCGCACTCACCACTTTTTCAGTGAAACATGTGAGATCTGAATTATGTAGTATGACTATGGTTCTTCCCCCTTTAATGTAGGATATATACTATCTGCAGAATAAGTAGATGAGAAGTCAGCTGAATCAGTTTAATCACACTGCACTATATAGTTCTTGACTGATATATTGATGTGAATGAAGTATTTTCTACTTATTTTAATTTCGTAATGTTTCTTCTCTTGACATCTGTTCTTTGTTTGTAATTTTAGGCAAGTTGCTTTGGCAGATATCATTCTCATCAATAAAACAGACTTGGTTCTAGAAGAGGATTTAAACAAATTAAGGACAGCCATTAGGTACAAAATTATAAGTATGTTAAGTACCTAAAGTATATTTGTAAAATATTTTTAACACATCTAATTGAAACTTAAGTTTCCAGGTTGACCTTCTTTAGGCCTGGTAGAGAATCACATATATTGTTGTTGGCTAATTAACTGTTACGTAAATAGTGATATATAAAATGATTCTCCACTGCTTGCAGAATACTGTTGACAGTTCATAGGCCAGGATTTTCTGATACTGTCGTGCTTTTCCTGTCTTCTCTGATTCTTTCCCAGCATCCACACTTTGTCACTTTACATAAAGTGATTAATTTACTTTTGCACAGATATATATATATCTTGCCATATTTCTTCTTCTTTCATAATGTGTTCTCACTCTGCCCCTATACTTCATCTTCTCTGTTTTTCGTTAGTTTGTTTAGCATTTTCTCCGTTCTGTAGAGGTATTTTCTCTCTGCCACTCTTTTTCTGTAATGTCTTCTCTGATTCAGGTGGTGTCATTTCTCCTGAATCTTCATTGACTTATGTCTTCCTTAACTATGAACTCTGCCTTGTCTTCCAGTGTGCTTTTAATATCTTCAGTGTTCATGGCAAAGCTGATCGACATAGGATAATAGGATTTATACTCATATATGTGTTAAATGATCAGTCATTTTGTGACTGTTTGGGAGACTCCCATTCTTTTTGCAAACAAAGATGAACTTTTCAAATGAGGTTAGAATTTAGGGGCTTTGTTTTGAATTATTGAAAGAAAAAAATTTTTTATTGGCACCTTTTTTTTTTGATAGTGTGCTATAGGTTATGAGTACCTTTGAGAGAGAGAGAGAGAGAAAGAAAAAAAGATAGGGAGAGAGGGGAAAGTGAGAAATCACCCCCCAGGGGGGATGGCCATGCCACAGTTTCTTCACCTCCATTCTCCTCTTGAGATTTGGGGACACATGCGTGCATGTGTGTGCACAGCATGATTTTCAAGCCACCAGGTCCAGGACTGAGCTACTCAGTAGGCCATGTGGGAGCCAGTCACCTTAACCTCTGCTCCACCTCCTGGCCCTAAATTACTTTTTTAGACCAAACCAATGAATGCCATATATAAAGAGACATTCAATAGCTTTTATTATTGGTCATCTTTAATGAGTACAATGCTTTGTGCATGAAGGCTCAACATAACAGTTTTTAATACTTAAGACTTTTGCTGATATCAGATTTTGAATCTGTCTTACCAGTTCATATACTATTTTATAAATGGAATCAATAAAGATGAGGTTCATTAGGACATAGTTGGTAAAAATTAATGACTGTATAAGAAACTTATATATTTTCTACTAATTTGTTTTTAATTGTAATATCCTTCAATTTTGCTATAAAAATGTTTAATAACATCTCTGTGGCGGCTAAGATCATGGGCCTTGGTATCTACTTAGTTTCTAATTCTTGATCTTAGGGAATTTATTTAACCTTTCTTCTTCTTTTTTTGTTTTGAAAGATTTTTGCTATGGGCATGTACGCTCACTGGAGAGACAGAGACAGAGAGATAGAAAGTGAGAAATCACCCCCTACGGGGGCTGACCATGCTGCAGTCCCTTTTCCTTCACTCTCTTGGGATTTTGGGCATGCACATACACTTGCCTGGTGCAAGTTTTAAGCTACTAGGTCCAGGACTTAAACTGCAGTTGACTATGTGGTAGTCCAGTGATGTAATCATTACACCATCTGTTGGTTCCTTATTTAACCTTTTCTCTTAAGTTCGCTTGGAGAAAGTGTTGATAAATTTTGTACTGTGCCTGATACATAGTAAGTGCTCTGTCAGCCATTATCATCATTATTACAACATAGATTCTTTTTTTGTTAGCTTCTGTTGCACTCAAAATGAATTGAAAGGGGGGATGAAAGAGAAAGGTGACATATTTTGAAAATTCTAGAAAGGCAGAATGTGTGAATGGAGATTCTTTCTTTCTTTCTTTCTTTTTTTTTTTTTTTTTTGGAGACGTTTTTGCTATAGTGCACGTGAGCTCGCCAGAAAGACAGAGAGAGACAGAGAATCAGAAAGTGAGAAATCACCCCCCGCCAGGGGGGTGGCCATGCAGCATTCCCTTCTCCATTCTCCTCTCAGGATCTTGGGCACACACGCCCACGTGCCTGGCGTGAGTTTAAGCCATTGAGTCTGGGACTCAAACCCGCAGTCGACTACATGGGAGTCCAGCCACATAGCCATTATGCCATCTGCTGGTCCCTATTTCTTTAATTCCTTTTCCCACTGGTCTTTGAAATTTTGTTTCTCTTTTCAAAATCTTTTGTACCATTGTGATTGTTTGAAAGAACATAAACCCTTTAGTAACATTTTTGGCATAAAAGAGGTGATTATTATTGCTTGTTTTTTATATATTCATATTGATAATTAAACTGGACTGACGGTGGCAGTATTGACTATTAGCCAGCGTGTTGCCAGTGTGTTTTTTACAATGATAGCAGAAAAGAATTTAGAAGAAGCAGTTTAATAACTTACAGACCCTTTTGACTTTTCACCCCGCATCACATATCAGAATTGCAATTGACGAGGTTCAGATGCGAAGAGAAGTAAGCACGTTGGAGAGGAAATAACACTAGTCTCTCGGTTGTATAGGACAATCTTGCACATTGTGTTTTCTTCGTGCCTGAGTGGAATATATCTGATTTATGGTTTGAAAGAAAAGAACACATTTGAACTATTAAAAAAGTTGTATTTTTCTGCTTTTATTTTTTTTCTAGTTATGGATATATTTATGTGTGCTTACTTTGTATTTTAGAAATCACGTGCTTTTTAAAAAAAGTTGATGTTTACTTTTTCCTTGTTTTTGTCTCTTTCTTATTTTAAAATTTATTTTAGATCAATAAATGGACTTGGAAAAATTTTAGAAACACGAAGATCAAGGTACTTTTTTAAACCTGTTACTAATACTAGCAAATAATTGTAGTTATTAATGATAACCATTAAGTATGCTTGATTCTAATACGAGAAAGATAAAGTTGCATTTTAAGAAATAGGACCCAAAAATATTGTTTCAAATGCTCTTTATGAATTAGTTTGGTGTATTTAGTTAAAACATTTCCCTCTACAGAGTCAGGATAACACTGTATAACTGTGGTTTTGCTTAATGAGAAAGGAAACAAGACTTTTCAACTACTCAAGAAGGTAACTTAATAAAGAAATATGAAAAAGTAGTATATTTATTGAAAATTGAGGTATTTAAATGGCTTTTCAGCATTTTAAATGACTTTTTAATATTTAAAACCCTCCTTGGCATTTCATAGTTGTAAAAAAGCAAAGTCATGTAAAAATCTATGAATCTTTAAGTTTCTGGTAGATTTCTTTATATAAAGTTTTGATTTCTATTTCTTTCAGGTTCTTCGTTTTGTTCTGTTATACAAATGTACATTAGTTTATAAAATAGATGTTCTTTTAAACCATCTGTGAACTGTCTTTCTGTAAATTAACTCTGTTTTCCATTGAACGCTGTCGTGATCTCAGAAAATTTCTGTGGAGGTATTTTATTAAGCTCAGCAGCCATTAGACCCAGCCACATGCAGCCAGCAGCTCTGAAGCTCACAGCTGGCAGTCCAGTGCCACCCAGACCCTAGTCGAGAGATTTTCTTTGGAAGTGCAGCAGAGGCTTTAACTGAGTGACTTGACTGCTATGGCAGAGATTAGAGGTGCTGATAGACTGCCATAAGTGTTAGGCAATAACAGCAGCAGCTGCTTATGCATGTGAACAGCTGGGGAATTAATTTGGTATGCATTCTCGGGAGCCACTCATCTGCGGGCTGAAGTGGCAGAAGAATGCCCTTAGTGTAAGACGTCTGCAAGCACATGCCAAATGTGCATTTCAAATTCCATTGTAGAAAATCTCTGGTAATAGAACTGATATGATGAGCCGTTCTTTGGTATCTGTGTTCTTCCGATTGCATCTTTCACTTCCCTAATTCTTCACTACAAAATGACACATCGATCTTTGCATAATGCTTAAATAAGCTTGTAAAAATCATATGCATATGTAGCTGTGGTTCTGTCATGATAACAGTTATTTGGATTATAGTTACAAATACCTTAAATAAATTTTCTTCTTTTGTTTTCATTTTGGAGATATCCGTGTTCTGAGTAAAGAGTTTATCTTAATTAGTTTATTGTGTAATGATTTTATTTGTTTGACATTTCTAATATTTGTTGTTTTATAATATAGAACAGTAAATATGTAGTGACTTTTTTGTTAATTCAAGTGGATGAACAAACAAGTGTGTAACATCTTTTTTTAGAGAGAGATTTTTGCTGTAGAACGTGTATGCTCACCAGAAAGAGAGAGACAGACAGACAGAAAGTGAGAAATCACTGCCCAGGGGGATGGCCACATAGCAATCCCTTCTCTTCCATTCTCCTCTCAGGATCTTAGGCATGCATGCACAGGTTCCTGGTGTGAGTTTAAGCTGCCTGGTCCGGGACTCGAATCGTGGTCGAATACATGGAAGTCCAGTGACTTAGCCATTATGCCATCTCCTGGCCCCAACAAGTGAATAAAATCTTTTATCTTTTGTTTCTTCAGTATCTGGGTTTGCCAGTACACCTGAGAATCTAGGAACCTTCTGAAATAGTGCTTCCTTGCTGTGAAGACTAAAGTTGGATTAGGATCCTTTTAAGTGAAGAGCAGACACAGTACAGTTCTTATTATTGAGTCATGAATCTTGTATTATTCCCCGAAGCATAGCACCTTGAGCTTCCCAGTTTAGAAACTAGATTTGGTTCTTAACAAAATACTTAAAATCGCTCCAATAGGAGTTTTATTTTATTGTTTTTGTGTTTTGTTTCTGCTAGAGGGCAGAGAGAGGGAAGGGAGAAAATGGTCATACTGTAATCCCTTTTCCACTTCTACCTCCTTTGGGATTTGGAACTTAAAACATGTAGTCAACCATGTGGGATCCAGCTTTTTTAACCACCAGGCCATTAAGCTGGCCTGTTTTTTTTTTTTTTTTAAATTTTAATCCCTTTAGCATTTTATGATTAACAGTGCAAACTATAGAAAAGCTGCTATAAGAATGTATAGAAAAAGGCTCTCCTTGAATATTTGAGATTAAGGGATAAGAATAGCATATATCATCACCTTATTGGTCTGACTTAATGATTGAGAGGCAAGTGGATGTTCTGGTAGACCATGTAGACTTTAGAAGTAAGAGCAGAAAATCAGAAAGGCCATTCCTATCTTCTCTAGATTTTTGCTTATTTTAATTTTAGAGATCTAAGTGGACTGGACAGAGAACAAAACAAAACCCAGTTGATCAGTAATAAGCTAATAAGTTCAGCAAACCATTTATTGAACATTCCCCCGACTATTATTCATTTCATGGCATTGTAAGGATTTAAACAACACATAAGGCAAAAACCTGGCTTTTAAGAGGATCAGTCATTTGGAGGAAACAGAAGCAAGCAAGCAAAAAGCAACATGGTAGATATATCATAATAGGAATATTAAATGCATGGGATCCTATAAGAGTAGGAAGAGAGAGGAATGACTCTTCTTTCTTTTAGTTTATTTTATTCATGATAGAGTCCATACATGTGAGAGAGAGAAGCGCCCTTGTCACGATCTGGTCATGCTGCAGTCTCCTTTGTCCAGTCTGCAAACCCCTCAGGATCTTGTGTGTGTGTGTGTGTGCGTACACACGTGCCCTGCATGTTTTGGCATGTTATAGGGGGTGGGAATCTACAGCCAGTAATGTGGCTTCTAGCACTGCAGTGGCTTCTAGCACTACCGTGCCACCTAGGCTGGGCCTACTCTTGATGAAGAGCTGGGAACTTTTTTTTTTTTTTTTTTTTTTTTTTAAGAGAGGTTTTTCTATAGGGCACATGCTCTCACCAGGGAGATAGAAAGGGAGAAATCACCCCCCAGATGGAATGGCCATACTAAAAGCCCTTCTCCTCCACTCCCCTCTTGGGACTTTGGCATGCATGTGCTTGTGCCCAGTGTGTTTTAACATGTCGGGTCCAGGACTTGAACTGTGGTCAACTATATGGGAGTCCAGTGATGTATCCATTACACCCTCTTCTGGTCCCAAAATGAAGTACCTTTAAAAACACTCATTCTCTGAATTTGTTCTTTTTAAAATGAGAAAATAAAATATACCATGTATAATTGATATGATTACATGCTGTATTAATTATATTAGATATATTAAACATTTAATGCTCGAAAATTCCTTTTCCTAGAAATAGAGCAGATGTCTAGAGAATTTTAATTTTTGTTTGACAGCTAGCTCAGGTATCATTTATCTTCATTAGTACTATGCCGCTAAGATTTTATTACTTTTTTTGAAGTAGGAGAATAGGTTGTATCAGTTGTCGAAGGTTTTACAATTTGAAGATAAAAATAAAACACTAATCTATGCTTAATAGGCATCAAGATTATATATGTCACACTTTCTGTGATCCAAGGTTTCAAAGATTTATTCCTGTGCTTTCTTTTAAGCATTTTATAGTTATAGCTTTTTAAATTAAATCAATGATTGGTTTTTGAGTTAATTTTTATATATGTTGCCAGGGGGATGGCCACATAGCAATCCCTTCTCTTCCATTCTCCTCTCAGGATCTTAGGCATGCATGCACAGGTTCCTGGTGTGAGTTTAAGCTGCCTGGTCCGGGACTCGAATCGTGGTCGAATACATGGAAGTCCAGTGACTTAGCCATTATGCCATCTCCTGGCCCCAACAAGTGAATAAAATCTTTTATCTTTTGTTTCTTCAGTATCTGGGTTTGCCAGTACACCTGAGAATCTAGGAACCTTCTGAAATAGTGCTTCCTTGCTGTGAAGACTAAAGTTGGATTAGGATCCTTTTAAGTGAAGAGCAGACACAGTACAGTTCTTATTATTGAGTCATGAATCTTGTATTATTCCCCGAAGCATAGCACCTTGAGCTTCCCAGTTTAGAAACTAGATTTGGTTCTTAACAAAATACTTAAAATCGCTCCAATAGGAGTTTTATTTTATTGTTTTTGTGTTTTGTTTCTGCTAGAGGGCAGAGAGAGGGAAGGGAGAAAATGGTCATACTGTAATCCCTTTTCCACTTCTACCTCCTTTGGGATTTGGAACTTAAAACATGTAGTCAACCATGTGGGATCCAGCTTTTTTAACCACCAGGCCATTAAGCTGGCCTGTTTTTTTTTTTTTTTTTTTAATTTTAATCCCTAGCATTTTATGATTAAAAATGCAAACTATAGAAAAGCTGCTATAAGAATGTATAGAAAAAGGCTCTCCTTGAATATTTGAGATTAAGGGATAAGAATAGCATATATCATCACCTTATTGGTCTGACTTAATGATTGAGAGGCAAGTGGATGTTCTGGTAGACCATGTAGACTTTAGAAGTAAGAGCAGAAAATCAGAAAGGCCATTCCTATCTTCTCTAGATTTTTGCTTATTTTAATTTTAGAGATCTAAGTGGACTGGACAGAGAACAAAACAAAACCCAGTTGATCAGTAATAAGCTAATAAGTTCAGCAAACCATTTATTGAACATTCCCCCGACTATTATTCATTTCATGGCATTGTAAGGATTTAAACAACACATAAGGCAAAAACCTGGCTTTTAAGAGGATCAGTCATTTGGAGGAAACAGAAGCAAGCAAGCAAAAAGCAACATGGTAGATATATCATAATAGGAATATTAAATGCATGGGATCCTATAAGAGTAGGAAGAGAGAGGAATGACTCTTCTTTCTTTTAGTTTATTTTATTCATGATAGAGTCCATACATGTGAGAGAGAGAAGCGCCCTTGTCACGATCTGGTCATGCTGCAGTCTCCTTTGTCCAGTCTGCAAACCCCTCAGGATCTTGTGTGTGTGTGTGTGTGCGTACACACGTGCCGTGCATGTTTTGGCATGTTATAGGGGGTGGGAATCTACAGCCAGTAATGTGGCTTCTAGCACTGCAGTGGCTTCTAGCACTACCGTGCCACCTAGGCTGGGCCTACTCTTGATGAAGAGCTGGGAACTTTTTTTTTTTTTTTTTTTTTAAGAGAGATTTATGCTATAGGGCAAGTGCTCTCACTGGAGAGACAGAGAGACAGAAAGTGAGGAATCACCTCCCCGGGGGGATGGTCCTGCTGCAGTCCCTTCATCTCCATTCTTCTCTTGGGATTTTGAGTAGTCACACACACGTACCTTGTATGAGTCTTAAGCTGCTGGGCCTGGGACTTGAACTGTGGTCGACTACATCAAAGTCCAGCGATGTAACTGTTATGCCATCTGCTGGTTCCAAGTTGGGAACATTTTGACTAATGATTATTGATTATTGATCCGAATCTTAAGGAATGATTAAAAGTTCATCCATTCCAGGTGGACTAGAGTGAAGATGACTTTCCAGGTATGAGGAAGGTTTTGTTTTCCTGGGACCTGTAAATAGTTCAGAATGGCTAGAACATACAATTTACGTAGCAGAGAGGAAAAAGGAGATGTACCACAGAGGGCTTTGAGGGCTATAATACATAGTTTGGATTTTCTCCTGTTGGCAGGGGCCTTAGTGAAGGATTTTAAAAGCAGTATGACTTTGAGAGGCTGGCTCAGTGTGGGATGATTCTTTGATGTATAAGAAACACAGGATGGAAGAGGAGCTTGGTGTATGTGGGGGAGTGGAGATAGGTTCGGAAAAGGTGATTAGTTTACTTTTGTACTTTTTTGAGGTACCACTGGGAAAAGCATTTGGAAATTTAGTTCTAGTGTTGATGACTGTTGGACAGTATTTATAACGCCTTGATCTAGGATTGGCTGGCGTACCCTGTTTGTGATACTCACTGGAATTTGAAAAGATGACAGTTAATATCCCGAGAGTAGCAGCTGCAGTCCTCTCTCCATGTTGGTGGCCAAAATCCACTTCCTTTCCATTCTCCTGTCCTTGGTCTGGGGCTGCTCAACGTATTCTTTAGATGTAAGGAAAGTTGAAAGTAGCTCTTCGTAGGAAAAACTTTGGGTTTTCCTGTCACAGATAGTTCAAAACATTAGGAGAAAAAGGAACTTTGAAGTTTTCCTTTCCTCTTTTTGTATGCTTCATTTTCACATTCAAATTTTAAGTGATGGTTATGGTCTTTTTTATCTTTTTATTGTAATATTTTGAAAAAGATCTGATGTTTTTATCTCTGAAGGAGGAAATTAAATGTATTTGTTGCCATAGAAATTTGTTTTCTAGTGATATCCTTTGAATGAATGAATAATTTTTTTTTCAGGGCAATACTAGATTTGGGGAAAGTTCATAGAAACTTTAATATAGAAGCCTCTCCAAAAAAAAGGTGCCAAAGGGACCAGCAGTTAGTGTAATGGCTATGTCACTAGACTCCCATGTAGTCGGCCACGGTTCGAGTTCTGGAAATGGTGGCTTAGACTCACGCTGGGCGCGTGTGCGTGTGTGCCCAAGATCCCGAGAGGAGAAGGGATTGCGGTGTGGCCATCCCCCCTGAGGGGTGATTTCTCACTTTCTTTCTCTCTGTCCCTCTGTCTTTCTGGTAAGCACATGTGCCCTATAGCAAAAACCTCTCCAAAAAAAAAAAAAAAAGAAAAGAAAAGAAACTTTAATATAGAAGCCTAGACTTTTTCTTTTGTTTACATAGAGAATTTGGCAAGAGATCTGAAATTTTATTTTATTTATTTTATTTTTTAAGAGGTTTTCACTATAGAGCACGTGTGCTCGCCAGACAGACAGAGACATAGAGACAGAAAGCGAGAAATCACCCCCCGGGGGGGGATGGTAACACCGCAATCCCTTCTCCTCCATTCTCCTCTCTGGATCTTGGGCACGCACGCACATGCGCCCAGCGTGAGTTTTAAGCCACTGGGTCCGGGACGCGAACCGCGGTCGACTACGTGTGAGTCCAGCGACATAGCCATTATGCTAACTGCTGGTTCCCCTGAAATTTTATTATGTTTCTCCATAGAGTATAATTTATCATACAGATATATTATTGTTCCTGTTTTGGAAAAGTATAAAGCAGAATTTCCTCTAAATGACATACTGTCAAGGACGTTCACAGTGAAACAGTAGTCTACTTAGAATCTCATGTTTCAAAACTAAATTTGATGTTCTCAAAATTGGTATATATAAACTTTATTTAGCTTTAAGCTATTTCCTAAGGTGAAGATGATAAACTTGAGGGAAACTTCATTCATCTATGACATGTTAGTATAAATATTTGCTCAACCTGTGAGGGTGAAAAAGGAATTATGTTTAATGTTAGGACTTCGGTCTGTTAGTGTAAATTGATATTTAAAAATTTCTTCATGGGACATTAACTTCTTTGCTTGATCATTTTTCCTAATTTTGCACATCTAGGCTGCCCAGAATTTGAAGTGTTACAGTCTGTTAACATAGAACTTTGGAGCATTCTTCTTTGAATAGGATGGGAATGTGTCTTGGGCAAAGATAAGCGTTGATAATCTGGTAGTATTGTTGCCTCAGTGCGGACATGTGACAGACTGTTGAGAATGAACAAAGCAGGCGCAGCTGGCCAGTCCTAAGTTAAAGGAGATGTTTTATCTTACATGGTTTGTGCATTTAAAAATAAATCTTGAATTTGACAAATGAAGTTTTGTTTCCCTTATGAGAAAATTTAATGTTTGGCAAATTTCTGAAGCTTTAATCTTTAAATTTAATTATGCTTTTGCTGATTATTTATTTTTTTTAGGATTCCTTCATTTTAGCTTTGATTATGGAGAAATCATTGGCCTCTGTTGTTTTATGGGCTTAGTTAACATTGTAACTCCATTATTAGTCTTTATAAATTTACTTTTGTATATTTAAAACAAACCTAATATTCATTAGGTCTTACTCTCATCTGATTTGAATTACATTTTGATAAGTATTTTTTTTTTTGAGAGTTTTTTTTGCTATATGGTGTGTGTGCTCGCCAGAAAGACAGAGAGAGACACAGAGACAGAAAGCGAGAAATCACCCCCCGGGGGGATGGCCACACTGCAATCCCTTCTCCTCCATTCTCCTCTCGGGATCTTGGGCACGCAAGCACACATTCCCAGCGTGAGTATAAACCACTGGGTCTGGGACTCGAACCGCAGTCGACCACATGGGAGTCTAGTGACATACATAGCCATTATGCCAACTGCTGGTTCCACATTTCTGATAAGTTTTAATGATCACTAAATAAGTGTCTATTCAGGTAGAGCACTAACTGGGAAGCTTCTTTCTTACATGCAAACTCAATCCGAATGAATGAAATTAAACCATGTGGATTAGGGTCCTACGATGAATTAATATTTATACTTCAGTTGTTTGATTCCTTGTTTTTTTCTTTCTTTTTTTTTTTTTTTGATATGTTTTTGCTATCAGGTGCGTGTACTCGCCAGAAAGACAGAGAGACAGAAAGTGAGAAATCACTCCCCAGGGTAGATGGCCATGCTGCAATCCCTTTTCCTCCGTTCTCCTCTTGGGATCTTGAGCACGCACGTACATGCACCCAGCGTGAGTTTAAACCACTGGGTCCGGGACTTGAACCACCGTCGGCTACATGGGAGTTCACTGACATAGCCATTATGCCAACTGCCGGTCCTTTGACTCCTTGCTTTTTTTTTCAAATGGTTTTTGCCTTGACCTTATGTCATTCACCTATTTTTATGAATGTATAATTTTTTATAAGAGCCTTCTTGTTTCTTGTCATTTTATGTTTTCACAAAATAATAATATATGCTGACTAATCTTTATGCCTACATTTTAAATTATAATTTTTTTTTTTTTTTTTGGAGAGGTTCTCACTATAGGGCGTGTGCGCTCGCCAGACAGACAGAGAGAGACATAGAGACAGAAAGCAAGAAATCACCCCCCCAGGGGGGATGGTCACACCGCAATCCCTTCTCCATTCTCCTCTCGGGATCTTGGGCACACACGCACATGTGCCCAGCATGAGTTCTAAGCCACCGGGTCCGGGACGTGAGCCGCAGTAGACTACATGGGAGTCCAGCGACATAGCCATTACGCTAACTGCTGGTTCTAAAATTATAATTTTAAATTGACATAATATTAATAATTACACATTTTATGGGATGCAGTATGTTTTTTTTGTTGTTGTTGTTACATGAGTTCAGTGTGTCATGATCATAATTGGGTAGTAAACCCATCCACTATCTCAAACAATTATTACTTTTGTGAAAATTCAAACTCCTCTCTTGTAGCTGTTTTGAAATGTGCATGAAATTGTAACCACCTGTAGTTATTCTACTGTGGTACGTAACCTAGAACTTGTTCTACTTTACTTTGTTCCCACATTTTTGGTAAAAGAACTTACTTGGTTAACTGAATGTATTTCATAAAATTTCCATTGTTCCATTCCAATGTTCACATTGAGTTTCTTCCTTGCAGAGTTGATCTTACCAGTGTTTTAGATCTTCATGCCTTTGACAGTCTCTCTGGAATAGGGTATGTTTTCTCTATTTTATTCACTTATTGTAATGCACATTCTATTGCACAGTTACAGGAATAATTTATACAGTTGCACCCTTGACCTAAGCTTCCCGTCATTCTTTTCACATACAAGACCATTCTCAATGAGTTAAGCTTTTTAAAGTTTTGTTATTGGTTTGGAAATCATAATGCATTTTCCTATAAAAATTACAGTGTAAATGATAGTTATCTTTAGAGAGTAATTTTTTATATTTCTGTGCCAGCTATTTTGTATAATACTCTTTTTACGAGGAAATGCATGTAGTACTTGGAAAATTTTATCTTTAAGTGCTCACGCCAACACCTACCTTCCCTGTAGTGATGGACCTGTCTTCTGCTTCATTCTGAGGCTATCTTTTTGAGAAGGCAGGGAAGAAAGATTAGCTATTCCTGGAGATCTGTATCCTTTTTTTTTTTAAATTGTGTTAAGAGCTTTTAATATGATAGCTGTAAACAGGGTTTTAAACATACAATGTGATGTTGTTAACTGCGGCCTTGGTCATGTACAGTGTATTTAGAACTTACTCATCTTGCTTAACTGAATGTTCACAGCCATTGAATAGCAACTATCTGTTTCCCCCAGTTTCTGGCAATCACCATTCCACTCCCTGCTTTGAAGGGATTGACAGCTTTAATTACCTGATAAAAGTGGAGTCATGCAGTGTCTGTCCATCTGTGACTGACTTATTTCACTTAGCAAAGTGTCCTCAAGGTTTATCTGTATCGTTGCATATGGCCTATTTTCTTTTTTAAGGCTGAATGATATTCCATTTTATGTATATATCACATTTGCTTTATCTAGTCATTTATTGGTTGACATTTAAATTGTTTCCATATCATGGCTATTGTGAATAATGTTCCACTGTATATTTTTAAGTCTCATGTGTCTAACAAGGTCATGAAAATAGGTATCTCCCAGGGTTTTTTTTTTATTATTATTATTGGTGAGATAATTTTGCTTAAGGATAGGCATAGTAGGTGGTTTTATGCTTGAGACTCCTAATTCCCATTCATGTAGATTTCTAACTTCGCGTTAGCTATGCCTTTAAAAACTAATTTCTTTTACCTAGTCCCCCCCTATCTAGTATTGTTAGTATTTGTTTAAGGTTTGTTTTTGTCATAGGGTGCATGTGCTCACTGGAAACAGAAAAACAAAGAGGGAAAGTGAGAAATCCCTCTCCCCCACCAGGGGCAGTGGCCACGCTGCAATCCCATTTCCACCATTCTCCTCTGGAGATTTTGGGCATACACGCACATGTGCCTGGCATAATTTTCAAGCCTCCAAGTCTGGGACTCTAACCATGTTGGGCCATGTAAGAATCTGGTGCCTTAATCACCACACCAACTGCTGGCCCCAGTGTTGTTCCCATTTTAAAGTAATGTCTAAAGTAATCTGTGAGGATAGGGCAAGAATCGTGTTTTACTTTACCTTATAAATTAGAGAATTAAAATTTACATATAGTTTGTAAAAGTATAAAATTTTCTTGGATTATTTTAGCACTAAAAGTGTGGAATAGGCAGGACAGTTATTTCCTCCTCCTCAGTTTGGAAAGTGAAACTCAAGAGAGGTAAGCTTAAGAGTTGTTCTAGAATTCAGGTCGTTAGTTACTAGCTGTTTATTTTACCTGCAGCCTTGTGTTGGAACCTTTTGTAGAGTAAATAAATTGCAAGTTAAAATGATAGAGATAGGTGGGGGGACTTGTGGAGTAATTTGCTCTTGGGAACCAGCACTATGGTGTCGGGCTGCAAGATTGGCCTATCCATCCTCAGCAGTGATCTAGCCAGTTTGCGGGCTGAGTGCCTCCAGATGCTAGACTCTGGGGCTGGTTTTCTGCACCCAAATGTAATGGAAGGGCATTTTGTTCCCAGCATCACCTTTGGTCACCCCTGTGGTAGAAAGCTTCTGAAAGCATCTAAGTCAGGACCCTTTCTTTGACCAGCACTCGAAGGTGTTCATGCCAGAACAGTGGGTGAAGCTGATGGCTGTAGCAGGAGTCAATCAATGCACCTTTCATCTCTAGGTTACCGAGAACCTAGGGACTTTGATTAAAGGTATTTGGGAGGGAGAGATGAGGGTTGGCCTTGCCATCAAACCAGGAACTACATTTGAGTACTTGGCACCACGGGCTAACCAAATAGATATGGCCTTGGTTATGACGGTGGAACCTGGATTGAGAGGACAGAAATTCATGGAAGACATGACAAGGTTCACTGGTTAAGGACCCCTTTCCCAACTCTGGATGTAGAGGTGCGATGGTGGAGTAGGGCCTAACACGTTCCATACGTGTGCAGAGGGAGGAGCTAACACGATTGTGTCCGGCAGTGCCATTGTGAAGAGAAAAGACCCCTGATCTATCATCAGCCCGTTAAAAAATGTTTGCTCAGAAGCTGCTCAGAAATGTTCTCTTGATCAATGAAACGGCAAGAATCCCAGTGTGTTCAAGAAATCTTTTTATTGGAAAACAGGAGTATTGACTACCAAGTTGTATCACAGCTGAGATAGTGCTGCTTTTCTGAGCAATTACTCATTCTAGTGATTAAAATCTATTGCATAGAATATTCTAAGAGGTTAGAAATTGGTGTGTAAAAGACATTTTTAGTGATGCATTTTAAAAGATTGATGTAGTGATATACTGTTATTACTGGGAGATTTGATTTTTTTAAAATAAAGAGTGAAAATATGCCTATATTAAGATTTCAATCAGAAATGTGTCTTAATGCGAAAGGAGGGTATATTAGCCACATTAATTTTTTTTTCATTCTGTATTTCTCATTAAAAAGGAAAAAAATGATAAAGACATTTCTAGAGTTCTTGGACAAAACTAGTGTCTGCCTTTCTAGTTCAGTTAGTAGAAAGGCAGGAAAGTTTGATGTGCTTGAACTACTACAGATGAGTGATTTCTACTTTTTTTTTTTTTTAAAGAATTATTTTTTAAATTTTGACCAGAGTGGGATAGAGTGAGAGAGAGAGAAAGTAAGCCACCAGGTCTGGGACTTGAACCACGATCAGCCATATGGGAGTCCAGCGCTCCTTAATCACTATGCCACCTGCCAGCCCCATGTGATTTCTACTTTTAAAACAGTCCTTGTAAGTAGTCACTTTAAGACCAAAGTGACTACTTGTTGCTTTATGGTAGGAATAGTTACATTTTTTCAGGCTACTCCTATAAAAAGTTGTGGTATCTCCCTTTGGCACCCTGAACTGTCTTCTCTGCTATCAACCTAAGGTTTCCAGCATCAGTTATGCTTGGTAATGATTGATTATGTAGTACAAAATTAATCAGAATTACACTAAGTTTTTTCACACAAGCTTTTGTGTTTCTAATTTTGAAGTAAAAGACTTCTCCCCCATCACAGGAATATTCCTGAGCATAAACTTGGATTGGACATTAAAAGTGGTCTTTTCTCCCTTAATGCTGGCTGGAGTAGGAAGAAGGTTGGCTGAGGTTGTCACCTAATTCTAGGAGCCTAAGAGCCTTTGTCTTTCTCCAATGACCAGAAGTTTAGCCCATCCTAACCTTTATCTTACTGAGCCTTCCCTTTTTACTCTCAAGAATCCAGTACATTTCATTTGATTAGTTAATATTTTTCCAGCAGTATTTAATGCTTTTTCTCTCATCTTCACATTTGGTTTAGAATGATATGATTTTATTCGAAGCTATGGGCAATTTCGATGATGACAGATCTGTGATATACTTAAATGTGTTTATAGAAGAGGGTAAATGAAAATACTGCCCAAAGTTTACTTTTCTTAAGCTCATTTATCTATGTTGCATATAAGAACTTGGTTGTCATATATGTAAAACACCAAAATATTTCAGTTGAAATCTTTGTTTTTTTCCTTTACTTTATTTCTTTAGAAAAAATTATGTGAAATTATTTCCCATTTTGATATGTGGCGTATCAATTTTTGTTTTTTTCTTTTATAATTATGTATTTTGCTGTAATTTGCTATAATAAAAATACTTTCTTCATAGCCTCTACTTCTTTGTCATTTTGTGTTTCACTAGAGAAAAATAGAGAAGGTGCTAGTTCCAGCTTACTATGAAAAGAACTAAATTTTTTCTTTTTTTTTTTCTTAAAACACAATGGTTTACATACAGAGCACTAAGCTATTTGTGATGTATGCACTTTACTCAACAAAAATTGTTACCGTTACAAGTTTACAAGTAAATCTGTAAACTGGCCATCCCAATTCATCAGTTTTAGGTTTTGGTAGCATATGCTTGTCCCCTTGACTGGATTACACTTTTTAAAATTTGTATGATAAAGAGCAAATGAAGGGCATAACATTCTGAGACTTACTAGCTAAACTTAAATGTTCACTATTAAATTGTTGACATTTTTGATTGCACATGAAGTTTGAGGCAGTCATTATCCAATAACATTGACTATTGAACAGATGGAAAATGCGTGTTATTCTTCAAAGTTTTTCTAAAGGAATCTCATTCTACCCTTTATTAAGAGCAGTTATAATGCTTTAGTGACACTTGGAAAAGTCACTATTTAATGTGATCCTGTCACTATAGATAGGCCTTTGCTTTACTTTTTTTTGTGCTGAGCTGCTAAACAGAATGCTTTCCTGAACAACCAGATGGAAGGGATTTAATCTGACACTCTCTCTACTAAGACCCCCCCCCCCAGAGAGAACAATTTTCCCCCGATTTAATCTGACACTCTCTCTACTAAGACCCCCCCCCCCCAGAGAGACTCATTTTCCTCCAACAGTTTCCTACAAGTCCTTTCTCTTTCCTAAACTTGCTGTTACTAATTTACCCCTCACTGTTCTTCTAGGCAAAACATCTGCAAGGTTTTAAGTCCTTTCCCCCTTCCACCCTGTCCGCCTCAGTGTCAAGATGTGTGCTGCAGTTGTTATGATTGTGATTTGTTATGCCACGTTGATCTTCATGCTCTTCTTATAGCAAAACAAATGATCTTTAAGTTTCTGACTTTATTTTCTCTCAACCAGTAGATGACTCTATAGGAAGTTTATCTTTATGGATACTGTTTGTTGTTTAATAGGTAGATATGTTCACAGGAAGATGTCGACAGGAACATTTATCCTTCTAACTCTTTTTAGGTACCGGTGTTAATTTTCTATTTGGAAGCATAGGGAGAATAAGAAACTCTAAGTCGTACTAAAATGCTTATGTTCCTTTTTCTAAGACTTATCAGAATTATAAACAAATTTCGTATTGTTAAAAGGTATTTTTTTTCTTGGGACCAGCAGTTGGTGTAATGGTTACGTTACTAGACTCCCACGTAGTTGACCACGATTTGAATCCCAGACCTGGCAGAAGCTCACGCCGGGCACATTTGCATGCATGCCCAAGATCCATAGAGGAGAAGGGATTGAGGGGTGGCTATCCCCTGGGGGTGATTTTTTACTTTCTATCTGTCTCTCTGGGAAGTGCATGTACTTTATAAAAAAAAAAAAATTAACTCTCTCAAAAACAAAAATGTGGGACCAGCAGTTAGTGTAATGGCTATGTCGCTGGACTCCCACGTAGTTGACCGCGGTTCACGTCCCAGACCCGGTGGCTTAAACTCACGCCGGGCGTGTGTGTGTGTGTGCCCAAAATCCGGAGAGGTGAATGGAGGAGAAGGGATTGTGGCGTGGACATCCCCCCTGGGGGGTGATTTCTCTCTTTTCTGTCTCTCTGTCTGTCTCTGGCGAGCGCACGCACCCTATAGCAAAAACCTCTCAAAAAAAATGTATTTTCTCTTTATAGTGCGCATATACATGTGTGACTTTATGTGAATTTTAAGGCGTTTTTAAAAAATTTATCAGCTTTTTGGGGCCAGCAGGTGACGTGGCGCTTTAGGAACTAGATTCTCACATGCCAATCACCATTCAAGTCCTGTCCCAGTGAGCTTGAAAATCAAGCTCGGCCCATGTATGTGCATGTGTGCCCAAAATCCTTAGAGGAGGATGGAGGAGAAGGGATTGTGGAGCGGCCATCTCACTGGAGGGTGGTTTCTTACTTTCCTTCTCTCTGTCTCTTGCCAGTGAGCACATGCACCCTATGGCAAAAACCTTAAAAAAAAAAAAAAAATCTTGCCAAGCTCTTTTAGGATATGTGAACAGCATGTAAAACGGGAACTGTAGAATAGATTCAGTTATGGAAAGTCTCTTCCTTATTTAGCCTTGTGTCTCTAAGTTATACGTAAAGGGTAATCAGGAGTGTGTTGATCTCTGAATTTATATTTAGTTGTTCTTAGTTTGCAGAAAAAACTTCATCATGTGCCAGCAACACAACCTCACCTTGATCAGGTAAAGTTACCTTTAAAAATATTTTTTAAGTATCTTTTTAACTAAATTGTCTGTGTTTGTAACAGTTTTATTAGAACTCATTCTAAAATGGTATTTTCAGACTGTGTTGATAATTTTCAGAGTGTTAGATACTTTTGATATCATCTAATCCAACTTCCTTAATGCATAATAGGAATTCACCAAACCAACATTCTTTCAAATCTTAAATAGCTTTTTCATCCTCTAAGCATGTTTTGATCAGTTCTTCTGATGGGATTTATTTCTTAAAAGCAGCCTAGGAGGCCCCACCACAGTGACACAAGTAGTAGAGTGTTGTTTTGTGGTGGCTGGGAGGCCCTGGTTCATTTCCTAGCCCAACCTAAGCAGGCCAGGCATAGTGGCACATGCCAGTGGTCGTAGCTGAGTCGAAGCTGGGGCAGGAGGATTACAGCATGGTTAAACTCTGTCAGATATACTTCTCTCCCTCACTTGCTCCTGCTTTCTCGGTCATAAAATAAAAAGCAGCCTAAGGATTCTGTATATAGTCTATTTCTAACTATGTTGAACAAACTGATTAAAGAAACATCTGGTGTAAGCATAGTTTATGTAAGTAGTTGTCTTTAAGTTTTATTCTCAGGTAGTACTGTGAATTTGAACTCCTTGAGTGTTTTGCATCTAAAATTGTAATCACAGAGCTTTAAGATGCTAGGAACAAAATAAATATATTTTCAGCACATACATGTTTCAGTAAAGCAGGCCCTAGATGGTAGAGTTTTAGGATAAATTCTTTGTGCTGTTAATATGCAGTGAGAGGGAGGGGATGTGTGAGTGAGCGCGTATTTAAGGGGAGCTATACTGCATGATCATGGCACCTTTCTCTAAGAAACTTAATAAAATATTCATCCTCACTTACCCTTGAAATGAGTTGGTAAAATTAATACAGATCCTTAGAAACAGGAATTTGGGGAGATGTCAGCTGTTTATGATGCTCACTATCAGTTATAAAGATGAACTTGAAACACATTTGTACTGAACTTCTGAGTAAAGGACATTGTAGTAGGAGACATAGAGTTTAAAAGATTGTGTACTCACAAGACCATGTACAACAGCTAATACTGAAACCCATAGTATCTTGAATAGAGTCCCATTATGATGCTTATAATGCATTGTAGTTTTGGTTGAAATGTTTTTTCTTTGGGCCAACAGGTAGTGTGGGGGTTATGGCACTGGATCCCACATGGCTGACTTGTGGTTCAAATCCTGGACCCGGTGACTTGAAAAACATGTCAGGCATGTGCACCCACAAAAATCTTGATCGGAGAATGGTGGAGAAGGGGCTGTAGTGTGGCCCCCCGGAGATGATTTCTCATTTCCTTCTCTCTATGTCTGACTCTGGTGAGTGCACATACTCTATAGCAAAAATCTTTAAAAAAAAAAAAAAAAAAAGAAAAGAAAAGAAAAAGAAGAAAAGAAAGAAAAAAATTCTTTTTCTTTGTATTAGCTTATAAATTCCTTATATAAATTTTTCATCACATAGCACAGGCTTGGTATATTATGGGTACTCAGTGAATATCTATTAAAAGAATTAAAATTTGTGATACTCAGATGGGGATATAAATCAGAATCACTTGTGGAGACTTTTTTCTTTTCTTCTTCTAGTCTTTTTTTTTTTTTTTTGTGCTATAGGGTGCTTGCAATCCCCAGAGAGATAGGGAGAGACAGTGAAGTGCCTCCCCCAGGGGGATTTCCATGCCATAATCTCTTCTCCTTTACTCTCCTCCTGGGATTTTGGGCACATATACACACCCACCTGGTGTGATTTCCAAGCCTCCAGGTCTGGGACTTGAACCATGGTCATACCACATGGGAATTCAGTAACTTAAGCACTTCGCCACCTGCTAGACCTAGAGATAGTTCTTTTAATTAGACACTTAGTAGTTCCTGCCCCTCAAATCTTCAGGAGTGAGACTTAAATATATGCATATTAAAATGTATTTTGAATATTTCTTTTCTGAAAAATTCAAAGATATATAAAGGTAGAGAGAACAGGGAGCAGCAGGTGGCATGGTAGTTAAGGCACTGGACTCCCACATGGACCACCATGCAAGTTCCAGACCTGGTGGCTTGAAAATCATGCCAGTGCTTGTGTGTGCACATCCAAAATCCCATGAGGAGGATGGAGGGGAAGGGATTGCAGTGTGGCCATTCACCCTCACAGGGTACTTCTCATTTTCCCTCTGTCTGTCTCTAGTGAGCACACCTGCCCTATGGCAAAAAAAAAAAAAAAAAAAAAGTGTAACAGTGAAATGAACCCATTATATTGCATCACCAGGTTTTAATGATGTCAGTCTTTTGCCAATTTTATTTTCTATTTCATCTATCCTCCTGACATTTCTTTTGTTGGATAGTTTTTAAATTTTGTCTTAAACAGACAATTTCATGCATGTATGAGAGGAGAACAGTGTAATGAACCTTATGTACCCATCCTTCTTGCTGGAGTTTATTTAAGCAAATCTCAGACATAATGTCATTTCACCAGTAAATAGAGCATGTCTCTCCCTCCCTCTGCCTTTTTAAAAAAATGCCCTACAGGAGCTTCTGATCGACTTTTCTGCTTTAGATATATAAACATAGTGCAGAATATAATACAGAGAACTGTGGAGCCCAGAGGCATGAACTGTCTTGATGCTGGAATGGGTGGGTATGCCTGTAGACCAAAGAACCAGAAGTCTGGTCTATACTACTCACTACTTGACAAAAGCTAGTCTTGAGAAACTAGAGTTTGTGACTAAGTTAAGGAATTTATGCAGTGAGGCCATGATGGGGAGAGAGTAGCCCAGAGTTTTTAGTGTTTCTGTTATACTAAATGACATATAGACCTTGTTAAGGGGAGGGTGATTGTCAGGTACATGTAGAAGCAAAGGGCTAGTTACTCACTGCTCAGGGCAGAATGACAAAGAGGCCTGCTTATTGTCTCTGGCAGGATCACAGCAAGACTTCTAGCACTGTGGGGGAGGGCAACTGCCTTAGGGGCAGTTTTCATTCTGAGCATTCAGAATGGAATGACCAATTTTTAGTTCTCTGTGAGGGGCTTAAGGATATTACTGTAAAAGTAGTGAGGGTCTGGGTGTGGCTTTGCAGTGTTTGAACTGATGAAATCTCTGTGGTCTTGTAGGAGGGATCTGGTAGAGTATTTCCCCTCCCTACCTCCATAGCTTGCTATCTGTAAAGACTTGATAAAGTATTGTTAACTATCATCAGTTAAACATTAGACTCAATCAATTGTGAGGAAGGTAAGTGGTTAGGTTCTGTAAGATCCACTGTGAGGAAAGTAAATGAAGTTAAAGACTGATTTTCCTAAGATTTCATCTATTAGGATGGACGCTAAGGGCCAGTAGGTGGCATGGTGCTTAAGGCACTGGATCCCACATGGGCAGCTCTGCTGTGCAAGTCTTACACCCGGCAGCTTGTAAAATATACCAGGCATGTGTGTGTGCATATGTCCCCAAAATCCTGAGAGGAGAATGGAGGAGAAGGGATTGCAGTATGGCCACCCCCCACCTTGGGGGATGATTTCTCACTTTCCCTCTCTTTCTATGTCTCTCTCCAGTGAGCTCAGGTGCCTTATGGCAAAAGTCTGAAGGAAAAAAAAAAAAGATTAAGAACAATAATTTTCCATTCCTAGTTTTATGTATATAAATAAATACAAAAAAAAAAAAGAACAATAGAGTCATTTTGCTTCTCTTCTGGCTGGGTTCTAGTCACATTTGGTTCAGTGGATCTAAGCTGTAGAGGAGGAAACACACTTTCTCTTACCTATCACTAGGTTCATGACTGATGTCCCTATAACAGAAGACAGATTTGTAGTAAGGGGAGAACATAAAAATTTATTTAATAACTTTTACATGATATAAGAACCATTATGAGGAAATGAAGACCTAAAAATATTAGTAGTAGTGAATTTATTTACTTACTGCTTGCTATAGGGTGTATGTGCTTGCCAAAGAAAGGCAGAGAAAGAGAGAAAGTGAGAAATCACCCCCAAGAGGGAAAGGCTATGCCATATCCCTTTTCCGTTCCCCCTCCTTTCAGGTTTTTGAGCATGTACACACACGTGCCTGGCAAAGTTTTCAAGCTACTGTGTCTAGGACTTGACCTTGTAGTTAGCCACGTTGGATCCATGTGCCTTTGCCACATCACCATCTGGACCAGTTAGTTATATTTTTATGCTAATTATAGAAGTGGGTAATTTTAGAGAAGTATGACTGGATAAAAAAAGACATGATCTGAGCCAGCAGGTGACTCAGAGCTCAAGGCAGCTGGATTTCACATGACTGACAGTGTGGTTTGAGTCCTGGACCCAGGGACTTAGAAATCATGCCGGGCATGTGTGCATAGTGCCCAAAATCCCAAGAGGAGAAGGGATTGCAGCATGGCCATCTCCCCTGCAAGGTGATTTCTCTCTCTCTGTCTCCCCCCCGCCTCTGGCAAGCACATGTGCCCTATGGCACACCCCACCCCTCCAAAAAAAGATTTCCAAAATTACAGTTTCCTTGTGCTATTCTGACCTACCTACCAGAAAGTATTTTGAACTGGTAGTTTTTTGTTTCATTTTTTAAGAAGAGATTTTTGCTATAGGGTATGTGCACTCATCTGAGAGAGACAGAGACACAGAGACAGAAAGTAAGAAATTCCCCCAGGAAGGGAAAGCCATACAGCAGTCCCTTCTCCATTCTCCTTTTGAGATTCTGGGCATGCACATGCATGCACCTGGTGTGAGTTTCAAGCTACCAGGTCTGGGACTCAGACTATGGTCAACCCTGTGGAAGTCCAGTGACGTAACCATTACACTATCTGCTGATCCCAGACTGTAGTGTTTCTTTACAAGAAGAATGGAAACAACAATCCAAATGTTTAAAAATGGGAGGGACATCTCCACAACACAGCAATTAAGTGCTGTGCAGAGGACACCACGTCTCATGTGGCCCTCTGGATACTGAATCGTGGCCCCAATAAACAAGCCAGGAGCATATGCAGACATACTCGGTATCTGGACAGGATGAAGAAATGTTAGGAAAAAAAAGAGTGGCATGGCTAGACCCCACTGGAGGATGATGTCTCTCGCTCTCTCTCATGCGCTCACATCCTTTGGCATTAAAAGAACAAAATAAAAGTGAGAAAATGATGATGTTCCCTACCAGCAGGCATGAGTGAAATAGTTGGTCTTTGTTCCAGTTTCCTGCAAACTGCTCCTGAAATCCTTTTTTTCTTTTTCTTTTCTTTCTTTATTTTTTTTTAGAGATTTTTGCTATAGGGCTTGTACACTTGCTGGAAACATAGAGAGACAGTGAGAAATCACACCACATGTTTGGCCACTGAAGTCAGTTCAGGGGGATGGCCACGCTGCAATCCCTCTTCCTCCACTGTCCTTTTGGGATTTGGGGCACACATGCACATGCACCTGGCCTGAGTTTCAAGTTGCCTGATCTAGGACTTGAACCATGGTCAACCACGTGGGAGCCCAGTACCTTAACGCACTGTGCCACCTGCTGGCCTTCACACCTGAAATCTTTGAAATCTCCAAAGTAATAAGTATCTAAGTATCTATTTTTATGCAAATAAGTTGACTGACTGATGAGTGGCAGCTTCTGGGTAGTTTTCGAATGAGTAGAGGGTTGGGACTTTCAGGCCTTCCCTCAACCTTGAGGATAAGAGGAGAGGCAGAAAAGTAAGTTGATTACTAGTGGTCAGTGATTGAGTCAGTCAGGCCTGTGCCATGAAGCTTCCATTAAAAAAACAAAAGGGCCGTTCAGAGAGTTTGTTGGTAGCTGAACATGTGGCAGTTCTGGGGGCCATCTGCCAGGAAAGTGCATGAGAGTTCCAGCCCCTTCTCTTAGGCCTTGCTCTGTGCATCTCTTCTTTTGTACTGTTGTAATATCCTTTTTAATGAACTGGTAAATGTAAGTAAGTGTTTTTCTGAGATCTGTGAATCACTCTAGCAAATTAAACCTGAGGAGAAAGGAGTTGTGGAAACCCAATTTATAGCCTGTATGTAAAAAAACACAGGTTAAACGACTTGGGGCTTATAATTGGCATAGAAAGTGGGGCTGAGCCCTCCACCTGTGGAATCTGAGGATAGAGTCAGAGATGAATTAAATTAGAGGGTACTCAGCTGGACTCTGGTGCAGAATTGATCACTTACACACCTGTGGAAAAACCCCCTCACTCTCACCTCCCCACACGTTTGCCGACTGAAGTCTTCTGTGTTGACCGTTGAGTGGAAGTAGAGGGAAACTGAAGTTGTTTTTACCTTTATTTTCAGAGCAGGTCTCTAGTGTAGAAGTCTTGGTCGATGATTTGCACTGGAATCCTGGTCACAGGTATTGAGCTTTAATTTGCCGGGCTGAGAACCCATGCTCTCTGGCTGGCTGTGTTACATAAGCTGGGTTGCATTTTGGAGTCAGGAGACCAAGCAGAGAATGAGGGCTGAACCGTGTTGATCATAGTGAGACAGGAAATGGGATACGTGGACAGCTGGTTTGCAGGTAGACTTCCTGTATGATGAATCTTTACAAGGGCATACATCCCTTATATAATACTGTTTAAGCTAAGAATAAAGCAGTGTTACCTAAAATTATATTGTGTGTTGATACATTCTCAATATTAAAAGCTAAGTTATTCAATTTGAATAAAATACATTCTAAGCAGTTTGATGGCTGAATTTACTCTTTTCATTTTATATATATATATATATAAAATTTCTCCCATGAGGAAAGAAAAGAAGAGAGACAGAGGGAGAGAGGCAGACAGACATTCTCAACAGAGTCTCAACACCACAGTCCATGCCTCACCAGCCCATGCCATAGGCATGCTCATGGTCAGTGTTATTTTAAAGTCTCTGGACCCTAATCTGGAACCTTCTCAGCTGGGTCAGCCTCAAAGAGCATTGTGTTTTACCACTGTGCCACCATCTGGCCCCTTAAATTGATCTTTACAGTTACTGTTGGTTGTTCTCTAAAGTGGGGTAAAATGCAGTTCTGTGTTTTCATATTTCTACTTTGAGCCTATTTTATTGTCTAATGATGGGTAAGATCGCTGGACCAGATGTGCAGCTCTAGGAATTGATGCAGAGCTGTGCTTTTAGTATGTTTTTTTGTTCCTGCCATTTTAAGCCATTTTGAGCTTGCCCCAAACATCTTCTTATAAGAGAGGGTTGGAGTTTTCAAATTATGTGACCTGTTAGAGGAAATCTTAAAGTTTTGGTTCTTGGGTAGCAGGTGGTGTGGAGGTTAGGGCACTAGATCCCATGTGGCCAACTTAGGGATTCAAGTCCCAGATCTGGCAGCTTGAAAAATCACACTGGGCACATGTGCATGTCCAAAATCTCCAGAACAAACTAGAGAAGGAGGGATTGAGGTGTGGCCACCTTTCTGGGAATAATTTCTCACTTTCCCTATCTCTCTCTCTCCCTCAGGTGAGTGCACATGCCCTATTGTAAAATCTAAAAATAAAGATACAGATTCTTTAGCATAGACAGTAAAGAATTTATCAAAATAAAAGAATAAATAAATCTTTAAGTAAAATTTTTTAAGTAGATGTTATCTACCTTCTGAAGCCAAAGATGACATGTACTATCATTCTCACCTCTGAAAAAATTTTTCCTGGATTGTGCTTGCTCAGTAGAAATGAACCAAAACTTTCCTTTGTATTTATTTTTCCAAGAGAACAGAGTCACACTTACTTTTGAATTTTACTCCTGGTTCTGGGTAGTTTATTTTTTTGAGCCTCATCTCCCCGCAGAGGGTAAAATGGAAATAGTATTTTTTTTTTTGGAGAGATTTTCTCTATAGGGTACGTGCGCTTGCCAGATAGACAGAGACATAGAGACAGAAAGCAAGAAATCGCCCCCCCAGGGGGGATGGTCACGCCACAATCCCTTCTCCTCCATTCTCTTCTCGGGATCTTGGGCACGCACGCACATGCACCCGGCATGAGTTTTAAGCCACCAGGTCCGGGACGCAAACCACGGTCGACTACGAGGGAGTCCAGTGACATAGCCATTACACTAACTGCTGGTTCTAAAATGGAAATAGTTTTATGCCTCGGGATTGTTATGAGAAATAGTGAAAAGATTACATATTGTGACCCAGGCAAAAGTACTTCGTTCCATACAGAGTCAGTAGACAGCAGAGGCATGCAAAAAGTTCACAGAAAATGCCTATTATAAAAAATTGTGCGTGGGTCTGGGCGCGTGTGTGTGCGCGTGCTCAAGATCCCAAGAGGAGAATGGAGGAGAAGGGATTGCAGCCTGGCCATCCCCCCTGGGGGGTGATTTCTCGCTTTCTGTCTCTGTCTCTCTCTGTCTGGCGAGAGCGCATGCACCCTATAGCAAAAACCTTTCAAAAAAACCCCAAAACTCTGCGTGGGTTTAATTTTTTTTTTTGCACCAAAACAACTCATACTTTAATTCTATTTTTCTACAAACTGTTTGAGGTCCCCTCGTGTATTGGTTTCATTTCTTATTATGGCTATGAATCCAAGAAAGAATGGATTAAGTAATAAATGCCCTTTCATGAGAATTTTTGTCTTTTTTATTTTTACGTGAAATAGTATTTTGTGAAAATACTAAACTATTGGTCAACTCTACAAAATATAGATAATAAAGTTATTCCAAAATATCAGCATAGAGTCAGAAAAATATACCTAATATATATTGTTAGACAACATAAAATTCTATGAGCACATTTCTTACTTTTCACCATAAACTTATTTTTTTTTAAATGTATTTTCTTCATTTATGATAGAGTGCACTCATGCACATGTAAGAGAGGGAGCGAGGTAAGTGCCGGCCAGAGTCTGGTCAGCCGCGCCATCACCTGCCTCCCATCCTCCAGCCTGTCAGATCTTGGACGTACACTTGAGTTTCCAGCATGATTTTAGGCTGGGTGGGCCAGGGATTCGAATCATTGTCACCATGTGGGATCTGGCTTCTCTTAAGCAGCATGTTACACCTGCACCACGGAATTGTCCCTAAAATATGATTCTTAAAAAGTATATTGACAGGCTACTTAAAATGATTATTTCTTCTGATTGTTATTACAGAGTATTGTTACAATCACATTTGAAGTACCAGGAAATGCACATGAAGAAAATCTAAATGTCTTTATTCAGGTGAGTGCAATTTTTAACTGATGAATGATTTATCAACTATTTGTTACACACTTGTTGTTATTACCAATGGTCAGTCTTGTTAAAATGTGTCATTTGATACAGAATCTCCTATGGGAAAAGAATGTGAGGAGCAAGGACAATCGCTGCATGGAGGTCATACGGCTAAAGGTGCAGTATGCAGTTTACCACTGTAGACTACTGGACCAAAGTCCTTTTCTTGGCTGTTATATAAAAACTATATTTGGTTTTAAAGAGAAGCACCTGGGGGCCGACAGGTGGCATGGTGGTTAAGTGCGTGCAGTGATTTGAGTGCTAGACCTGGTGGTTTGCTTTCTCATTTTCTCTCTCTCTCTGTCCCTTTCTGGTCAAATTAAGATAAATAAATAAATAAAGTTAAATAATTATTTTAAAAAATTATTTAAGGAGAAGCACTGGCTTTACTGCAAATAATTTGAGTCTGTTTTCATTTTCCTTTATTATTTCCATCACTGCACAAAGCCTGATTTATTTGCTGTGCTTCATTTAGTGTTGCACCTAAAACAACCTGTGTGCTTTGAAATGCTGCCCGTTCTCTACTCACAGTTGTTCCGAGCAGTTCTATGGCCAATGAGCTCAGCTTAGCTCCATGAAAACTCTCTTTCTCTTGGCACAAGGTCGGTCACTTGAAGAAAACAGTACCTGTTTTTCCAAGAGAGTTTCTTTAACAGAGAAATAATGTTGGAAACCCTGCTATTGCCAAGCCTCCTACTTCTTGGTGCATTCAGTAGCTACTAAACAGTCACATGCTAAACAAAGTTACAGGAGACCAGAAATGTTCTAGTTCTGTATTTGGGAACTCATTTCTATCACTTGACTTTTGGTCACAGTCATTTAAGTGTCTACTCATCTACCTACAAGTGCCCAGAAAGTTTTTATTATTACTGTTAATTATTGTTGGTAGTTACTAGATTCTTTCTGCAATCAGCAGCTGACTTCCTCAGGTCACTAGAATGACAGAAGTTGAAACAATCAAGAAATTATTTAGATACAGATTTTGTCACACTGTGTGCTAGCTCTGCCTAGGAGTAGAGCTGTAGAGCCACACAGGTGATTCCCAGTCTACCTCCAAGTCACTCCCGCTCGTAACTAAGCCAGGTCTCCTGTTCATTAGGGCTACATGGAGTATTTCTTTTTGTAACTGCTTTTTGTCTTCTTATACTGAGTGAGGGCAGGGAGTTACCTAGAGAAGCAGCAGTTTGGACATTTACATTAATGATACCACAGAGCTTGTCTTGGGTCATCCTGGTCTGGATTTTGTCCTTAGATAGTTAAGACTTTTGTTGTTGTTTTTGATTTTTACCATAGGGTATGTGTGCTCACTGGGAAGAGATAAAGAAGTGAGAAAATCACCCTTAAGGATGGATGGCCACACCACAACCACAGTCCCTTCTCTTTCATCCTTCTCTTGGGATTTTGGGCGCACACACACACACACACACACACACACGGAGTGATTTTCAAGCTGTCGGGTCTAGGACTTGAACCATGGTCGACCATGTGGGAGTCCAATACCTTAACCACTATGCCACCCGCTAGTCTGGATATGTGACAGTTTTTCTGTAGTTGTCCTCTTTGGTTCTTCCTTTGGCCTTACTCTCATCACAACACTGAGGGATTCTAAAGCAAACCAGTCCATCTCCATAGCCTTCCATTTCTTTCTGTTATAAAGTATTCGTCTTAAAATCATCAACATGTTTAAAATGTTAACTTTAGTAACAGCTAATCCTTTCCAAGGAGTTTATTATAAAAATTCAAATTTAGGAAGCAGAACACAAAACTAGGCATAAGAAAAGAAAAACTAGAAGGAAATACACTTAAAATATATAGTTTGGGGACCAGCAGGTGGCTTGGTGGTTAAGGCACTGAACACTCCAACATGGCCTATCATGGTTCCAGTCCCGGACCTGGTGGCTTGCTTTCTCACTTTACCCCTCTCTCTCTCTCTCTGTGTGTCTCTCTCTGGTCAAATTAAAAAATAAAATGAATGAATAAGTAAAATAAAATAAATAATTCTTTAAAAAATGTATATATATATACATATTGTGTGACAAGAATAACTGAGTAGTTTGTCACCTAGTATTTTAAGTGACCATATAACAAATATGAGTACCAAACACTATTTCAGAGAAATTAATTTTGTCCCCATAAGAGCTAGTTTATCAAATAATTTATTTCTCATTTCTATAAATCAATACAAAGTGAACTTTTATCCAGATGAAAGTAATAGTTTTCCTTTTAAATGAAATTTAAATGAATTTATTTTATCATTGTCCACTCCATTTATTGCAGCCCATTTCCAAAACAAATAATTTAATTATCACCAACATTATTTAACTTCTGAAATTTCCCCACTGAAACTATGTAACAATATATAATCCTTAAAAGTAGAATAATCAGGATGTGATATATATCTCTAACATGTTTGATCATTTCGTTGTTTCAGTTTTCTATTATGGTAAGTTACACCGAAAGAACATTTTAATGTATGTATTAACTTTATCGCTTAGAAAAGGGATTGTCTAAAAAATTCAGTGTTCACAAAAATCTTTTTTTTTAATGAGAAGTTTTAAGAAACTTTTTAATAGGAGTGAAGTAATTTTCATAGATTTGTTATGAGTTTGTATTCTGAAAAGGAACAGCAATAATTAATCCATTAACATCAATGCACTGCTTCTGTATTTACATTCGTGCTGAGGCTGATTGGGCATTCTCTTTTGACCAGGGGCTGGTGTCAATCAAAGACAAACCGCAGCAGGTGGTTGTCCAAGGTGTCCATGAGCTGTATGACTTGGAAGAGACTCCAGTGAGCTGGAAGGATGACACTGAGAGGACAAATCGGTTGGTCTTTATTGGTAAGTGACACGAGGTTATATTTCTTTTTGTTGTTGTTGCTAGAGGGCACTTGTGCTTGTAAAGAGAAAGAAAAAGCCTCCACACAGATCCACATGTGCTGTAACCCCTTCTCCCTTTCTCCATCCTGTTGGGATTTGGGACATGCATGCACATATGACTGCTTGAGCTCTGATGTTGGCTGTGTGGGATCCTCCTGCTTTAGCCTGCAGGCCATGGAGCCATTTTGACAAAGGGTTAAATTTCTAACACAAAATACAAAATTGATTTGAAAGGAATATAATGTGCTACTTAAGTAGTATTAACCCATCAGATTCTCTTTCACAACTAAGCTGTGGTTAATGTTTGAATCATATACTAACACAGGAACTCGTTAGGCTTTAATTCTTTTCCCAACAATTTTAGCAAAGTGATTACTCCAGATGCCAATTCGGTTTGAGGGACTTACCTAGAAAGTTAAAGAAGGGGGCCAGCCAGGGCTGGCAGGTGGCATGGTGGTTAAGGGTGCTGGACTCCCACATGGCCAATCATGGTTCAAGACCTGAATCTGGTGGCTTGCTTTCTCACTTTCCCTCTCTGTCTGTTTGATCAAACTGGAAAGTAACAATAGTAATAAATAAAGTTAAATAAGTCTTAAAAAATAATAATAGTAAGGGGGCCAGCCAGTAGCGTGGTGGTTAAGGCAGCTGGATCCCACATGGTCGACTGTGTGGTTTGAGTCCTGGATCTGACGACTTGAGCACATGCCGGAGACGTGTGCACTCCCCAGATCCCAAGAGGAGAAAGGGAGAAAAGGGATTTTGGTGTGGTCATCACCCCCCTGTGGGGTGCTTTCTCACTTTCCCTCTGTCTGTCTCTCTCCAGGGCATGCATCCTATAACTAATTAAAAAAAGAAAGAAAGAGTTAAGGGATCAGTTACTGAATTATTGTTGTTTTTATTTTTCATTGATTTTTGAGGCTCATCAATCAAGCATTTTACAACCTGGAACTGATAGGTGATCTGTGTCATTTGATATATAATGCAATCAAACCACATTTTGTTTTGTTTACAGGCAGGAATTTAGATAAGGATATCCTTAAACAACTATTTATAGCTACTGTGACAGAAACAGGAAAGCAGTGGACAACACATATGAAAGAAGATGGAATTTGTCTGTAACACAAGAAGCTTTTCTTCTCAAAAGGATTGGATGACAAAGATGAGAATAACTTTCCTACTCAGTGTATTTCTAGCATCTATTTTCATGATTTCTGTTAAGAATTTCAGTGTACTTTAAAATAATATTTATTTTATAGGACGCATAAATTATAGTAAACCAGTACTGTAAAATATTTGACAGTCATACAATAAATATAATCTGCTGAACTTTTTTGTTTTGTGCTTCGATATTTTGGGGGAGGGCAGACAGGTGTTTAACAAAAGTATCTTTCAGACTTGACTTTGGAGTTTACATATGGTGAGTTTCTCAACCATAGAAGTTACTTATAATTATGATGAAAAGGGCCAGCCAGTAATGGCTTGATGGTTAAGGCAGCTGAGTGGTTCAAGTCCCATACCTGGCGGCTTGAAAAACATGCCAGGAGTGTAGGTATGTGCCCAGAATTCCAGAAGATAGTAGAAAAGGGATTGAAGTATAGTCATCCCCCTCGGGGGAATTCTCGCTTTCTTTCTCTCTCTGGTGAGCACATGTGCCCTACTGCAAAAACTACTACTACTAATAATAATAATAAATACTGATAATAAAACTTTCTTCAGCCTTGTCATTTTCCCTTCAAATATCAGGTTATGGAGATATGACTATATTATTAATAAAAACTTAAAAACAAATAGTCTCACCATTTTAATTAAGTGAAATAAAAGGTTTATTGTGACTAACAACTTCAAAGGAGAAGAAATCTGAGTCTAATAAAATTTATTTCAACCACCTCTATTTAAACCAGTTGTTCATTTTTGAAAATTTCAGACTGCTGCTGTAAATATCATTGTGCATGCCTTTGTTCTTATGTATGAATTTCTCCAGAATAGATTCATAAGCATGAAATCACTAGCTTTTAGGATATGCACTTTTTAAAATGTTAACAGATAGGCCAGCAGGTGGCGTGGTGGTTAAGGTGTTGAACTCACACATGGTTGACAGTGGTTCAAGTCCTGGACCTGGTGGCTGGCTTTTTCATGTTCCTTCTCTGTCTCTCTCTCTCTGTTTTTCTCTGATGAAATTTTAAAAATAATAATAATGGGGGCCAGCAGATTGCCTAGCGGTTACGTCACTGGACTCTCACATGGCCAGCTGTGGTTTGAGTCCCAGATCTGGTAGCTTGAAAATCATAATGGGTACATGTGTGTGCATGTGTCCCTAAAATCCTGAGAGGTGAGTGGAGGGGAAGGAATTGCGGTTCACCATCCTCCGGAGGGAGGCGGGGGAGTGTGATTTCTTGCTTTCTGACTCCCTAGCGAGTGCACATGCTCTATAACAAAAATCTCTCTCAGAGAAAGACAGAGAGAAATTACCCCCAAGGAGGGATGGCCACACCACGATCCCTTCTCCATCTCTTAGGATTTTGGGCACACACTCCTGGGGCAAGTTTTATGCCACTAGCTTCAGGACTCAAACCATGGTCGACTACGTGGGAGTCCAGCAGTATAACCACTATAGCATCTGCTGATCCCACTACATGTTTTTTTTTTTTTTTTTTTTTTTTAAAGTGCCTTGCCTTTCCACTTCCCCTCAGTAGCTATTAATGTGTGAGCTATTGGGTTGTCAGAAAAGTCATGATGTATTTTTTTTGTTTTGTTTTTCTATGCAAAAATGTGTCATGACTTTTCCCACAACCCAATAGAAAGAACTTTCCAAAAAAAAAA